GGGTCTGGACCCTTCTTCAGAAGAAGGTCCACACCCATTTCTGAAGAAGGGTCCAGACCCGAAACGTCAGCTTTCCTGCTCCTCTGATGCTGCCTGACCTGTTGTGTTCATCCAGCTCTACACCTTGGTATCTCAGACTCCAGCATCGGCAGTTCTTACTATCTTTTTTGATCTTTCTTCATTTCACCCTATCAGCATATCCTTCTGTTCCTTCCTCCCTTGTCTTTATGTCAAATACATCGATAGTGTACACTGCAGTCTCTCTCTGCAGCACTGAGTCTGAATATTCCCTGTGGGAGAAATGGAGATGGATTGACCTACAGCCCAGGACCAAAAACTTACTTTACCAACCCCTCTGTCATTCCCCATGTTTCTTGCCCTTTTCCCCTCCAGCAGCAACTAAATCATCAGACTTGGAATGCATGAACCAAACTCTCTTTACCAGATCTTGAGGTCAGCAAATAGAGACCTTGTGTGGTCAGTATTGGGTAAGGTGGTCAGTTCTGCCAGCACTGGGGATGGGTCAGTGTCCTGAGCTAATGTGATGAGGATAAAATATAACCGCCTCCCACGAACTGGAAAATGGAGTGAGGACAGAGGGCAGCTTGTGTGTGGAATGAACTTCCTGAGGAAGTGGTAGATGTGGGCACAGTTACAACATTTAAAAGACACTTAGATAAGTACATAAATAGGAAAGGTTCGGAGGGATATGGGTCAGAAGCAGGCAGGTGGGGACTAGTTTCATTTAGGATTATGCTCAGCATGGACTGGTTGGACCGAAAGGTCTGTTTCTATGCCGTATGAATCTATGACTCCCATCACTATGACTGGTTTGAAATCTGTGATGAAGCCTTCCAAGGTCAAACAGCCTGAGATGACAATGCTCACAGCATCTGCTCAGAATGCCAGAGACTGACTGACTGACACCAATTGATAAACAGAGTATGGCCTCTGCCCTTTGAAGAGAAAAGAATTGGAAACAATTAAAATGGGGAGTGCAAGGAGCCAACAGGTATCCTCTCACTGAAGCATCCTCCCTCTGTCTCTCTCTCTTTCTCCTTCTCTCCCCACTCCACCCCTCTCTCTCTGCCTGGTTAGATGCTCTGGCTGGGAGTCAATCATTTGACTGCAACGTTCTCTAAATCACTAGCGAGACAGTAACTTGGGCAGATTTTTCATGTGACTGGAGTCATCAACAGGAACAGTTCTCCACCAGCTGCCGTGTGACTGGGACAAAGATTACCCAACCCATTAATGTTTAATTTATTCTTGTCTGACATAGATTCACACACGCCCAGCGTTATAACCAGAACATCTTCGCCACACTTGCTTGCTGACTCTCTGTCGCTTGTACATCACCAGCGCCATGGCACACAGTGAGTAAATAAATTTATCAGTCAGCAATTGCAGACAAAATCTCTCCATTGAAGGAAGGATATCATTTAATAAAATGGATATTCACTTGGCAAGGCTGGGTCAGAGGCTAGTTGGGTGTGATCCGGGCAGGTGTGGGAAACACAGAATAATTACTTCGTAGTTTGCAAATCCATGGCAGGCATTCAGTCTGCCATGAGATAGAAATACTGTGAATAAAAGATATAGTCCACTGGGTTTGATCTTGTGCTGTGGGTATAAGGTAATTCTATAATTCCTATCATCAAAACCTGTAACAGGCCATAGTCAGTCATTCTCCTGAAAAGGACAGAGAACTTTTGAGACCGTCCCACCCACCAAATTGGGAAAGGTTTCTGACCTGCTCTGTTTGCCTGTCCCAGGTGTGTGGCTCTCGCTGTGCAGCCCAGCTGGGTGGACCAAGTTGGGCTTTTCCTGTTCCGATATCTTCAGTACATCCAGGGGTGACACTTCATTAGGGCAGCATTCCGACAGAGTCTCCAACCCAAACATGAACAATACCCAAACATCCACCTTGCCCTCTCCTGTGGTATCTCCTTCACTTTCTGATCATCTCTCACACACCCTCTCTCATTCTCCACCTGCCTGTCTTTCACTCACCATTTGTCTCTCGCTGTCACTCTCTACATCGAATCGAATCCTGCCTCTTGACCATTCCTTAAAAGCACCTCTACCCGTCAAACATTTTTGGAATACCCTAATGTCATGATAGGTGCTACATAAAAGCAGAAATTCAGCAGGTGTGGCCCCTCGGTGGTGAGGAAAACAGAATTTCCAAATCAAAGAAGAGTTGGTTGTATTGGACTCAAAACGTTAACTCTGTTTCTCTCTCCACTGAGGCTGCCCAACCTACTGAGGTTCTCCAGCCATTTCTGTTTTTATTTCAGATTTAGAGCATTCAGTGTTTTGCTTTTATACCAATAAATGCATGTCTTTCTTTGTCTCTTACATCCTTTAAGATCTCGTCAAAATCCATCTTCTTTGACCAAACCTTTAATTGTGTGTTTGAATAAGTCTGTGAGACTCAAAACACTGTTTGATATGATTCCTGTGAATTGTCTTGGCAGGGCAGAAATAGTTTTAAAGAAAAGAATACTGTTGAGATTTTTTGGAATACCCTTCCTCAAAAGCTAATGGATAAAGTATTTTTAAACATTTTTGAAACCAGCAGATTCTTGATTACTAAGGGGGATGACAGATTGTCAGGGACATGTAGGAATAGAAAGTTGAGGTTAATGTGTTATTGAGACATTTTGTTATGTCAAGGTGCAATGTTGATAGATTTTCTGCTCAACACATGGACAATTTTGTTCATTGCCTAATGGAGACACAAAGCCTGAGTCAGTTTGGACACATCCTTTGATGGTCAATTCCTCTGTCAAAGAGTTATCTTTCTGTGCTCATAGATCCCTCAGCTAATCAAAGCTGTAAATCGGTTCCTTAAATATTCTTAAAATAACTTTTTAAAGAATCTACTTAACACCCAGTCAGAGCCCAGAGTCAAAGGGCACCGAGTGAGCATGGTGTTGGAGCAGTTCAGTAAAATATTACTCTATGAGCCAGGCATGAAACCTGTGTGATGGTTTTTCATCTTTATTACGGAAGACCATGACACATAAGACACAGGCATAGGCCATTCAGTCCATCAGATCTACTGCATCACTTAATGAAATGATTGCTGATCTGATAATCCTTGACTCCACTTTCCTGCCTTTTCCCCATAATCCTCGATTCCTCACCAATTAAAAATCTATCTCGTCCTGGACGTGGATGTCACTGGCCCATCCATGCTTGCCCTTGAATGAGTGGCTTGATAGACCATTTTACAGGGCAGTTAAGAGTCAAATGAAATTGCTGTGGGACTGGAGTCACATGGAGGCCTGAAGGATATTAGTAAACCAGATCGGCTTTTACAACAATCAACAATTGTTGTCCTGGTCACTATCACTGAAACCAGCTATTGATCCCGGATTTTTGTGATTTGAATTGAATTTCCACCTGCTGTCCTGGTGAAACCTTAACCCAGGCTTTCCAGAGAAGGAGCCTAGCCTTCTGGATTACAAATCCAGTGACATTTTCACTGTACTCCCCCAACTCTCCTAAACACGAGTAGTAAGCTCCCAATTTCCAATTCCAATGTTTTGCTGAGTTAACCTATCACACAGGGAGGTGGCAAATGGATAAAGGAAGTCGGGAACAAAAGAAAGGCTTCTGGTTCCCAAACATTCCCAGGTCCTTATCAGAAGGTATTGGCGTCAATTGTTTCTTGGGATTGGGATCTGCTGTGATCCCATTTTACGAGCACTTTGAAAACTCCCCACTGAGGGTGCACTCAATTGGGCAGCCCCTTTGGCATGAAGGAGCATATTCCAGAATCAACCCATTGTCTAATTGAGTCTGAAATAACAAGGTGTAGAGCTGGATGAACACAGCAGGCCAAGTAGCATCAGAGGAACAAGAAAGGTGATGTTTCGGGCCTAGACCCGAAACGTCAGCTTTCCTGCTCCTCTGATGCTGCTTGGCCTGGTGTGTTCATCCAGCTCTACACGTTGTTAACTCAGATTCTCCAGCATCTGCAGTTCCTACTATCTCTGTCTAATTGAGTCTCTTCTGTTCTCCCTGTTACAGCTGACTTATCCGATGCTCGCTTCTCATATGGTGAGTTCTTGATTGATTTGATTCCTGTATCAAATGAGGGTGGGGATCGAGCTGGAGGAGGGGGGTTTCCAACTATACTTGGAGCACCCATCAGTTTCAACCTCGGTTTCCAACCATCCTGCGACACAGCACAAGTAGTATTCTGTTTGGATCCTTCCATAAGGCTTTTTTAAAAAATCATTCATGAGATGTGGCAAGGTCAGCATTTATTTCCTGTCCCTAACTGACCAGAGAGCAGTTAAAAAGTTAATTATCACTGTGGGTCTGGAGTCACAAGTAGGCCAGACCAGGTAAGGATTGTGGATTTCCTTCCCTAAAGGACCCAGATGGGCTTTTCTGACAAGCAATAAAAGTTTCATAAGACTCCTAATTCCAGATTTTTATTGAATTCAATTGCCATCACCTCCCAGTGTGGCAGGATTTGAACCCAGGTCACCAAAGACATGATGTGGGACTCTGGATGAGGAGTCTAGTGATAATCCTACCAGGCCATCACTTCTGAAGGAAAAAAATTCAAAAAGACACAATTTGCCTCTGTGACTTTGCTCTTGCATGTTATTCATGGCTGTGTCCTGGAGATTACTCTTCAACTGGAGCAGACTGCAGGTCAATCCTGGAGAATTGGCAACTCTCTGATTTTCAAAATGGCTGTTTTGTGCTCTCTTAAAATAACACAACACAGGAAACTCCAGTCACACAATCTGACTAAACGTTCCAGATATCCCCAGAGGGAAATAAATAAAAACCTTGTCACAGTTGGGAATAAACATAGTGGTCCGTGCTGGAGCTCCATTTTAAAGTGTAAAACATGACTCAGAGCATTATGTGTCATTCACATGTTTAAGTTTTTTTTTTCCTTCTCGATTGTACCATAATTCTCCTTTGTGTAATTATTCTGAAAGGTGTCACCTCTGGCAGTATTTTCCAATTTGCCCCTACATTTGGGGTTCTACTTTAATTAACCAGCAGGCCCAAGGTGAAGTGAGGAAACCAGGCCACAACAAGTGAGCTGAGGGCTGAGCAGAACTGTTACCAAGGCAACCAAAAGCTTTACCTGTATGGAAAAGGCCTTGACAAAGGCCAAAATATGGAATCAGAGGCAACATGCAGTGCATCGAGCTGCTGTATACTTCCCTCAGCATTTCACAGGAGCTGATGCTGCCTGCAGCGAAATCCCTTCCTTTGACCAGAGGATGAACAGAACAGGCTTCACCCTGTGGGAGGGTAAGGCCTCTTGGACCGTGGGGCAAATCCATCTGTAGCTCCTCAATCCGCCCTGCCCACTGTTGCCTGGCAACAGGAGTCCATTCCAAACGCCTGGCACCAAGGGATAAAATGGGGTCACGCCACACGTCATCAAAATCACTTCAGACAGTCTCCCTCTCCCTGTGACCTCCTTTCAGGCTCAGAGCATGACTTTTTTTTTTGCTCCTTTTCTGGGTCAATTTGAACAGTTGTGTGTGTTATTGACAAAGGACTCATGACCTTGACAACAAAGATGGCTACCTTCCCTCACACCCCCACCCTGCTGTTACCAAGCAACTGTGAGTCACTGCCTTAAGAGGAAAAACTGAAGGTGATTAAAATTTTAGACTAACCAGCGCTAATATCTAAAAATGAATTGTGTGAGTGTACCACAGGCACGCAGCTAACCGAGAGACCAAAAAAAAATTCTTGTTCCTGTTCAGCAAAATGTGATTTAGAACCCAATTTATTCAAGCAAATAAATCTGGTTTGTCACTTGGTATTAGCAAGCTGATTTCAAAGGAATAACTGCTTCTCATGAGCAAGCTCCTGTCACTGTTAATTTCATAACCTTACAGCAGCCAGAGAGACCCTTCAATCCCGCTATGCTGTGCCAGTTCAGTGAAAGGCTGAGTTTGACTCTCTTGTTTTCTCCGCACAGCCCTGAAAAATTTTATTCTCTCAATTCCCCTCTTGAAAGTTACAATGGAGTCCACTTGCACTCCTCCTTTCATGCTGTGTATTCCAGATTGTAGCGATCGTACATGTCTCCAGTCTGAGGGAGCAGGCTCAAGGCTACTCACTGCTGTCAGAAAAGGTTCTGAAGGGGTTAAATCTTCATGTTACATTCCATTGATATCACATACTGATATCTGTGGGAGCAGATAATGAGTTCTCCTCGATGTTCTGGAGGGAAGACCAGAAGAAATAAGAAAAAGGAATAGGCCATTCGGTCCCTCCAGGCTGCTTCACCATTCAATAGATCTGACATTCATCACGTCCTGCATTTTCCCCGTAACCCTTGATTCCCCGACTGATCAAGGATCTGTCTGTCTCAACCTTAAATTTGCACAAGGATTCTGCCCCCACACTCTCTGTGACAAGGAGTTCAAAAGAGACTCAACCTTCAGAGAAAAGATTCCTCCTCATTTCGGTCTTAAATTGGTGCCACTTTATTCTGAGACCGTGTCCTCTGGTCTTTGATTCTCGAATGAGGGCAAATCTTTCCCCTGTTTACGTCCCTTAGAATCCCAACCTATTTAGTCTTTGCTCATAGGACAATCCTTCCAACCCAGGGATCATCCTAATGAACCTTCTCTGAACTGTGTCCAATGAAATGATCTCATTCCTTAAATACGAGGAAAAAAAAATGCTTACAGTACTCCAGAAGTTGTCTCAGCAGCACGTTGTACAGTCGCAGTCAGACTTCCCTACCCTTCAACTCCAACTCCCTTGAAATAAGGGCCAATATTCCACTAACCTTCCTGATTACCTGCTGCCCCTGAATGCTAGCTTTCTGTGTTTTGTGCACGAGTACCTCAAGTTCCTTTGTGCTGCAGCTTTCTGCAGTTTTTCTCCATTTAAGGAGACCATGCAACTTCATCCAGGAACTTCATCAACTTCCTAAGGTTGTAGTGATTATTCCTGATGAAATGTAGTTGTACCTATTACTATCATGCAATAAACCTTGTTAGTTAAGAGCAGCCTGTTCTGTTAATGCTCTACAGTGGAGTATCCTTGACCATTAATCACTTGTTTGAGCTGAGACAGAGCAGCAACAAAGGAGGACTGGTGGCAGTGAATTATTTCCAACTCACTGGTAGAGGTAGTAAATACCACGAGGTGCCAGGAGTGGTCATGCCTGGGGAAATACCACATTAGCTTTCATGATCACTATTTCTACGTGTTGCTTCTGTCCTGTTTATTGGCACGATCATTAAAACAGACCTGGAGAAGATTTGCTTTTGTCTCCCAGCTATCAGTTTCTACGTCCCACAAGCTCTCCAGCTAATTTTTGCAAACATGCTCCTTCATACACCATACTGGGACTGTATATAAATGCTCAAGGGCAGCAGATACGTGGCAATGCTACCAAGTTCCTCTCCAAGCTACTCACCATCCTGACTTGGAAATATGTTGCCATTCCTTCACTGTCACTGGGTCAAATTCTGGAATTCCCTCCCTAAGTGCATTGTGGATCCACCTACAGCAGGTGGGCTGCAGTGGTTCAAGAAGGCAGCTCACCAACACCTTCTCTAGGGCAACTAGGGACAGGCAATAAATACTGGCCCCACCAGCAAGACTCACATTCCACGAGTGAATAAAACTAAAATCCAACATGACATGCTACAGACTTCATGATTAACATGCAATAAATAATGTCTATTTACATAAATATTTATAATTGCCTTTTCCAGAAATACTGCTCCCAACAGGGGTGGCACAATGGCTCAGTGCTGCCTCCCAGCAACCAGGTTCAATTTCACCCTCGGGTGACCGTCTGTTGGAGTTTGTACATTCTCCTCATGTCTGCGTGGATTTCCTCCCAATGATGCGTAGACAAGGTGGATTGGAAATATAGGGTCACCGGGCCAAGGGTGGGGGTGTGGGTCAGGATGAGATGCTCTTTGGAGGATTGGTGTGTACCCGATGGACCAAATGGCCTGCTCCCACACAGTAGGGATTCTATGAACACTTCGACTTGAGCTTTTGGGAATTGTGCTATGAGCAGGTTATCTTCTATACCATTCCCCGTTTATAGTTATCACACCAGCGACAAAAGGCCAGTCCATCACAGTCGATATTGCTCCTTGTTTCTTTCTTGTTGCTTTTATTGGGAGTGGGAGATTTGAAATACTCTCTCTGTGGCCTCCTGCTCATCGTAAACAATCCTTTCACAATGTACAAGGCAGTTTAATTGTTGAATCTTAACCCTCAGAATTACATTAACACTAAAAGCTATAACATTCCCATGGAACAGGAATGTGAGGAGACTTCAAACATTGGCGCACAATTTAAAAATAAAGGGGATGCTTTGGAACTAAGGTGTTTTTTTACACTCAAGAGTTGTGAATCTTTAGAATTCTCTACCCCAAAGGGCTGTGGAGGCTCTGTCTTTCAGGATATTTGAAGTGGAGGTGGTAAATTTCTGATTACAAACGGTGTTCAAGGCTATGGGGATAATGTGAGTAAAAGGCATTGAAGTGTTTGATCAGTCATGGCTGTAATGAGTAGCAGAACGGGTTCAATGGGCTGAATGGCCTACTTCTGCTCCTATGCTGGATCTCCAGTACTTTCTTCAGGGTGATCCAGGATCCTTATAGAATCCCCATAAGAACAGGGGGAGGCCATTCAGTCCCTCAAGTGTGTTCTACCATTCAATGAGATTATGATTTACCTATGACTAAATCTACACACCCCTCTTCGCTCCATGTCCTCGAGTGCCTTTGCTAGATTTGTAACTATGTCAGATTTATAATGGACAATTAGCTCAGGGATCAATTGTCATTTGTGAGAGATTCAGACCTTGACCACCCTGTGTGTATGGTTTAGTGTTTTATCACTTTACTGTTGAAAGATTGGGTTTTAATGTTTTCACTGTGACCCTAGTCCTAGATTCCCCAACCAGTTCATTGATTTTCCCCACTCCATCCTGTCTGGTCCCCCAAATTATGACTCAAAAAGACTGGGGACAGGGTCTTTGAGTGGGGTTAGGGAATCTCTTACGTAGATCCCACTTCATGCACCAACCTTCCCAGGTTAGAATTGTATCATTCTCAATGACATCTAATGAAACTCCACAATTCATAAATATCTCAACCTCCCTATGATCCAAGGCAGGGACAACATTCTGCACAAGCACCTCGCCCACCAACGTTTCTAGAATCTCCCACTTCATTCAGTCAGCTCCCTCAGAAATATCCAGAAAACAAAATCAGACACTATAGAAAGAAGAGGGATTCAGGGTCTCTCAGGTCTAGTCTAACTCCAGGATAGCACACATGCACGCATGTAAACATTCACATATACACAGTCTGACATGGGTATAAACACTGAACAAAAAACAAAAAACGGCAAATGCTGGAAACCAGAGCCAACAAAAAAAAATTACTGGAGAAACTCAGCAGGTCTGGCAGCATCTGAGGATAGAAAACAAAGTCAACATTATGGGTCCAGCAATCCTCTCTTCAGAACTCTGAGGTACTCATGCCCCTCTGAAACTCTCCTCCCCTTTCCCTAACCCAGTCTCTTATTGAGTATTTATTATCCCTTCTGTTGTTTGATGCTGAACTATTCCATACTATGCAAAAGTTTTAGTTTTATTCCTCTGCGTGCTCATTTAATGATTTTGGACACAACTTGATGTTGAACTGTTCTGTCACCTTCGCCTCCATGCACAATTTTTTGCCCAAGAGTCTTCTCCCCGTCCCACAGACCCCCTTCACCCACCTCCAATACTCTCTCTCCACCTGGACCCCTCCCTCTGGCCTCTCACCTGTACTCAATCTGTTCACTTCGAACTGCCTCAATTTCTCTGACCCCACCTCACTGATTCGAAGATGAACTGACTACAGTCCATGCTCTCAGATCCAATCCTGACTTTATGATCAAGCCTGCCGAAAAGGGTGGTGCTGCTGGAGACAGCAAGAACTGCTGATGCTGGAGTCAGAGTCGATACAGTGTGGAGCTGGAGGAACACAGCAGGTCAGACAGCATCAGAGGAGCAGGGGAGTCGACGTTTCAGGCCTAGACGCTTCATCAGGACTGGGTGGTGGACTAACCTCTACATCGTGGGGTTTGAACACCAGCTCTCGGACGCTTTCTCCTATTGTCCCCGGACCATGACACTATCTGAAGGTCATCACGGGACCTGAAACATTAACTTTGTTTCTCACTCCATAGGCTCTGCCAGACCTGCTGTATTTCTTCAGCCATTCCTGTGTTTCTTTCTGAAATGGGCATACACTGATACACATACACAGATGCTTATGAACACACTGACAATATAATACTCATTCGGTATTTAAGTTATTTTTGAATATTTCCTAATAAGTTCATGAAGCCATTCTGAAGCAGTGAGATTCCTTTTGAAATTAACTGTTTCTCAACTTTTACACAGATTATGAAACTGTTCGGAAAGGGGGTTTGATCTTTGCTGTTGCTGCATTCTTCGTGGGAATAGCCATTATCCTGAGTGAGTTTCCAATCTCAGGTTTATGGATTAGTAACAGAAATGGCTGCTTTGTTTGGCTTTTGACATATTGTCGAGGTCCCATTGGCATCGTCAATTTGTAACTTCACACACGGAATGCCACCTACATGCCACACGCACAAGGAACACTGGGTACACTCCACATGCGCATGGAACATGGGATACAGCACTTCTATGCCCAGATACATCCCGTAACATTCACCTTGACCCTATTAGCTTCACACTGTGCAGTGCAGTTGAATAAATTATACTCTAAATTTCAGAGAGTTATCGAGAGCTCTTTCGGAAAGAAGCATTGACTGGAAAAGTGAGTCAGGCTGGGTTCAGGGGTTGTGAGAGCTCAGGGTTGAGATACATTGTTAAATGAATAAATGTCCCAGATTATTAAATGATAATAAAACAGCCCATATGATGTCTCCTTTGTCACTGCAGGCAGAAAATTCCGATGCAGAGGCAAACCACTTAAACGGTATAGTTTAAAGATTATTTTGCTCAGTTCTCATGCAGTTGAATGAACAGGTGTCTATGTGACTGGCTGTTGACAAATCTCTTCTTGGCGGTTTCTTTTAGATCCCAGGAGGAGGATGAGCTTTAGCAGACCTTGAGGTAGGTCACTCCTTTCTCTGTTTGTACACACACTCAGGAAGAAAGCAGCGTGTGTGTGTACACACCACCTCATTAGAAATGTTACAACGTGCTTCATATCAGAAATGAATCTGAAGCGACTGGAGTCACGTCACTCATACTGTCTCTTTCCACCTCCTTAGCTTTGCCCAAAACTACCCAGCCCCAGCTTTGAAACCCTCATTCGCACCTCCCACACCTACAGATCTCACCTGTCACTCCCACTGGTCTCCCACATTCCACCTCTTGAAACTTGAGCTCATCCAAAACTCTGCTGCCCAAGTTTGAACTTGGAGGAAGTCCCATTCTTGTGTGGAATGAACTTCCAGAGGAAGTGGTGGATCCGGCTATGGTTACAACATTTAAAAGACATTTAGGTAAATACATGAATAGTTAATGTTTGGAGAGATATGGGCCAAGCATAGGCATGTGGGACTGGTTTAGTTTGGGATTATGGTCAGCGTGGACTGGTTGGGGTGAAGGGTCTGTTTCTATACTGTATGGCACTATGAATCTGATCCCTGTGCTCATTATCATCTGTTATTTTTTGCCAAGCAAAGGGTGACACGGTGGCTCAGTGGTTAGCACTGCTACCTAACAGCACCAGGGACCTGGGTTCAATTCCACACTGGGTGACTGCACGGAGTTTGCACATTCTCCCTACGTCTGTGTGGGTTTCCTCCCACAGTCCAAAGATCTGCAGGTTAGGTGGATTAGCCATGGGAAATGTGGGGTTACAGGGACAGGGAAGAGGGATCAGTGTGGAATTGATGGGCCAAGTGGCCTGCTTCCATAACTGTAGGAATTCTGTGACCTAAAGTTCTATTCTTTCCCACAAGAAGACTTGTCAGGATTTTATACACTTCAAAAGCAATGTCTTGATTTTTAAATTTTCACCTTCACAAACCTCTCACACCTGTAATTCTGGGCCTCACTGATTCTCATCACTTCACTGTTAACAGCTACATGGACCCCAAGCTCTGAAATTCCCTCACTCTCCTCCTTTAAGATGCTCCTTCTATTGAGCTATTTGACCGTGTGTTTCATCATCTGACCCAACATCTCATTGTGCAACTCATTGTCAAACTTGGTTTTGCGATGAACCCGTGCAGTACCTTGGGACATTATATTCCATTTAAGGTGCTATATAAACAGTTGTTGTTGTAGGTAAAGCTGTCCTGCTCAACAATCCAGTTTCAACCATCATTGGACATTCAACTTGTTGCTTAGCAACATCAGAAGGAACAGTCTCAGATAGGAGCAATGTGGGACATTGGAACATCCCTCAGCTTCAAGCAACATCACTATGTGTGGCTCCTCTCATAACCCTCTCCAAGGATTGACACTCTCTCTCGGAGAGGGGGACTAGGCCCACACTCGGCTCCCGGCTCTGGTGGTGCAGTGGTTGCATCTCTACCTCTCTGCCAGAAGGCCTGGGTTCAAGAGGTGTACAAGTTGATTACCATGAGGAAATCTCAATTCCCTTCCTTAATCCTTCTTTCAGATCAGCCCAGCCTCTCTAATCCATTGGAAAGATTCCCAGTTTCTACAGCAGACACAGAGCGCTGGGGAAACTCAGCAGATCTGGCAGCCTCCATGGAGAAAGAGGAATAGAGTTAACATGCCGAGTCTGGCATTACTGCCTCAGAACACAGTTTGTACAGTGTCTGCAGCATTCTTCTCTAATCCCAGGAATCTACGTAACAGTTTTCACTCAAAGCAAAGTCACCATAGTCCCAGCGGATCAGACAGAGACAGAGAGACAGACACAGACAGAGAGAGAGAGAGAGACAGAGAGAGATGACTGGGGGTGGTTTAACCAGTGGGTCACAACACTCCAGTGAGGGAGGGGTTGAGAAGGAGAGTTCTCCTGTGGTTATCTTGGCCAGTGTGAGAATTGAACCCACACTGCTGGTATCACAAACCAGCTGTCCAGCCAACTGAGCTAACCACCTCCTTTCTTATGAGGCAATGACTGTAACCAGGAGGAGCCAATCGATGATGTGCTGATGACTTCAAACATTTCTGCTTTCCAATCAGAGCCTGTACTGCTCTCCTCAGCCTTTGAAAGCACTTCTTGGTTAAACTTTATCTCTCAGCTCACCACCTTCAGAATACTCACTGACCATGCTAACTGCAATCTGCCAACTTCCCAATAAATCACTGAACACAATCCATCAGCATCATGCCTTCACCACCAATCCTCAGCCAACAAAATCAACCCGCCCCATGTTTAATCGCACAGTGTTGGACATACTTATCTAGTATTCTTAATGTAGGAACACCTCTAATGGTGCTGGAACCTTACAATCTTAGTCAGCATCTTACGCAGTGCTCCGAAATCTCCCTTCAAAAACTGTTCAATCTGGTAAACGTGGAGAAATGATTCCCAGCTCTGACTGACTCCAGAACCCAGGATTCATGATTATTTGATATTCCCTGATAAATGCAACCAGAAATTCAGGAGAAACCTCTTTACAAAGAGAGCGGGGACAATGTGGAACCCCTAAACTCAGGAAGTAGTTGAATTTTAATGGGAAGCTGGATAAACACAAGAGGGAAAAGAATAGAACAATTTGTTGAGGGGCTTAGGAAACAGAAAGTGAGAGGAAGGTCACGTAGATCATCTGCTGGGCTGAATGGCCTGTTTCTTGCTGTAAATATTTGATAATATTCTATGTTTTACCCAATTATTTTTCTTTCAGGTTTGTGCTGTGAGGCTGGAGATTTGATTATCACCACAATCAAATTCGGAACAAAACAGTCACCGGAAATATCATTGCAGGAGTAGTTTGGGATGGCTGCCTCATTATCATTGTCCTGAGCATCTGAGGGGGCTGGAAATCTTTAATTCTATCCAAACTCTCAGTTAACAGATGCCAGGTACCCACAGAAATTGCCAGGTACCTCCGTGAGCCATGAAGTTAGAAAACCACTGAATTAACATGTAGGAGAGGAATAAATGTAACCTGACCTTTAATGTACTATTTTACCTTGTCGTAGAGTTTAATAGTATGATTATGTGTTCAGTTTAAAATCTCTTTACATTGTATCAAAAGGCTCACAGCATTTAAAAACGATTAAACACTCTGGAAACAGAAATAGAAACATAATATAAAAATGTTCAAAGTTTATTTTCTTGATGAATTTCTTGTGCAAACGAACAGATTGTATCTCCGAAAG